AGGAGGAGATGGAGGGTGGAGGAGGGTGGAGGAGGGTGGAGGTGGAGGAGGGTGGAGGTGGAGGAGGATGGAGGTGGAGGAGGGTGGAGGTGGTTGAGCAGGCGGATTGCCAGGGCCGTTGCAGGGCCCGCCTCCCAGGCGCGGCCTCCTCTCGTCAAGCACGGGCACGACGTGCGCTCGCGCACATCAGCAGCACCGCAAAGCGAGGCGCGAATGCGTGCGCGAGGAGAGGGGAGGGTGGTGGTGGGTGGTGGATAGGGAAGCGCGTCGAGCGCGCAGAGCACGCGCCGCCAGACCAAACACCTCTGGGCGCCCCAAGGGCACCAGGAACAACGCTAGCCGTTTGCTTAACGCGTTGGTTTTTGTTCACTGGTTAAACAAGTATTTAATTTTGCACGTCAATTGATGTCTAAGTTCAAGAATGCATTTTCTAGATATTGTGGTGTCTAACTAGGTTATACGTCAATTGGTGTTTAAACTTTCGACACTTCCGAAAAGTATAGCAGCAGCAGGTGCACACCATATGGTTCCTATTGATAGTGTAGAACTGGGTGTCCAAGTGTGCCGAATTTTAACGTTTCGAAAACGTCTAAAATTTGCACACTACGCAAAGTGTGCAGCTTGAGTTAAACACCATGTCATGTGCAAAATCATAACTTGCACACGTTCGTGAGCAAATTGTGCACACTTGTTTTAGAGTGTTGTGCATTTCTAGGCGCCGTCGACGCCAAAATCTTGTGTCGACACTGGTGGTGCGCGCACCCGTCCCGCCCCAGGTGCGAACCCGGAGACACCTGCGGCCCTGCGGCACAAGTCGGCCGACTGTGCACAGCAGCCGTGCAAGAGGTACCACGGGAGAAAAATAGAATCGAAAACTCATGAAAATAGACGAAAAGCAAACAGACTTGCATCATCTGCTGCGGAAAATTTTGTCCGCCAATGACCCCTCTGACGTCATACGTAGAGGGATAACAGCTGGAGTTAGAAGCGGCGGGTGGGGGGAAGCAACCGAACGTCCTACAAATACCACTCCCCC